GAGTACAGGGGGACGATCACCTCCCTAGACCTGCTGGTCACAGTGTTTCTGATACAAGCCAGGAGGCCATTGGCCTTCTTGGCCACCTGAGCACACTGCTGGCTCATATTCAGCCGACTGTCCACCATCACTCCCAGGTCCTTCTCTGCCTGGCAGCTCTCCAACCATTCCTCTCCCAGCCTGTAGTTCTGCTTGGGGTTATTGCGCCCCAGGTGCAGGACCCGGCACTTGGCCTTGTTGAACTTCATACAGTTGACCTCAGCCCATCGGTGCAGCCTATCCAGATCCTCCTGCAGAGCCTTCCTACCCTCGAGCAGATCGACACACGCACCTAGCTTGGTGTCATCTGCAAACTTACTGAGGGTGCACTCAATGCCGTCATCCAGATCATTGATGAAGATGTTAAAGAGGACCGGCCCCAGCACCGAGCCCTGGGGGACACCACTAGTGACTGGCCTCCAACTGGACTTGGCTCCATTCACCACAACTCTTTGGGCCCGGCTATCCAGCCAGTTTCTAACCCAACGAAGCGTGCGCCAGTCCAAGCCAAGAGCAGCCAGTTTCTTGAGGAGAATGCTGTGGGAGATTCTAGCATACCATCCCTTAGGTCTTCACCGGCGTGCCTGGTTTTAGCCCCTTCCCCCTTCGACTCTAGTTTAAAGCCCTATCTATCAGCCCTGCCAACTCCTGACCCAAGATCCTTACCCCTCTCCGAGAGAGGCCCATCCCATCCGGTGCCATCAGGCCCGGTGTAGCATAGACCTTCCCGTGATCAAAGAACCCAAAGTTGTGCCGGTCACACCAGTCACGAAGCCACGAGTTTATGCGAACAGCGCACCTTTCAGCTTCCATCCCCCCTATCGGAAGGACAGAGGCAAACACAACCTGCGCGCCTGAACCTCTAAGTTGTCGCCCCAAATCCCTAAAGTCTCTTTTGATCGCCTTCGGACTTCTCTTTGCTACTTCATCGCTACCAGCCTGAAAGACCAATAGCGGGTAGTAGTCAGTGGGCCGTACCAGGCGCTTGACCTTCTTGGCAATGTCCCTGACCCTGGCCCCAGGCTGTACCCTGAGGAACACCTCAACCACATGCTGGCACCGCTGCTGAAAGAAACAGCTCTGTCCACCCTGTCATCCCTGGAAGCAGCAAATGCCAACAGTACCAGGAGGAGACAAAAGGGTTCAAATTTGTAGATATTGATAAAGTGGCATTGAGTTTTAAAAATTAAGGTTTTACAAAAAAATTAAAGTTTTTCTTTTAATGTTTTAACAATATTTGATAGTATTTTCTGTTTCTTGAATGTGCATCTGCTTCATGTAAGATAGCAGTAAATTACAGAGATGAGCTCTTTTACCTTTGAATTACACACAGAGGGATTTACCATGCCTGGAACCAGCTTAGGACAGCTGGAGCTTTGCCTCTGCTATGCATTTTCTCTTGAGAGAGGTACCCTGGGTCTGAGGTAAGGGACCCCCAGGTCCCTTACTGAAAAGCTGGTTTCTAAGCAGTTTTTATTCTGCTCCCAAGGCAGGGTTTTACACCTGCCTTCATCATACTTCATCAGGTTTCTGTCAGCCTACTTCTCCAACCTGGCAAGCTCCCTCTGAATAGCATCCCTATTCACCACTGAATTCCCTTGTGCCCACAGGGAAGTCAGACTAGTTGAGGGAACCAAGGAGCGTGCCTCTTGCTGCCTGTCTCTGCCAGAACCCTAAATCTGCCAGATTCCATCAATCTCTCTTCATCACCTACAGCTCCTCTGCCTGCAGTTTGCTCTGCTCCTATTACCACAAACAAACTGAATTTTATCACTTAAAGCGTGGTGACTATGGTAAGAAGCCTTGAAGCAGCCTTCTGATAACGAACCATGGAGGAGACCTTCATGACTCGTTTGATATGAGTGAGGGCAGAAGACAAGCTGCTGCCAAGGGAATCAGCATGTCGAGCTAGCCCCTCAGCTACATGGCTGGGCTAGCACAGGGTATGATAGGAATGTGAGCATAAAAAGCATATGTGAATAGAATATCCTAATCAGTCTGTTCAGAGGGGATGTTTGCTCAAAAGAGGATGTTTGCTCAAAACCTGGTAAAGCTAAGAGGAAACTAGCAATGATGAAGTTTGCCTAAGACATCCATCAGTTGCATCCAACAGTAACCCAGGGATTACCAAGAGGTTTTTGAAGTCAGCTTACAAACAAGTGTGAAATAAGCACAAATACTTGTGATTGCAAACTCTTGTGGTGAGAGGAATGTAACAGAGAAGCCACCAAATCAGGTTTGGCACTGCCATGAGCCACCCTGCTGGGATCATAACCCCTGCCTAGGCCCACAGGGCATCCTCCCTGTGGTAACATCCCTTAGTACGTTTGCAGATGACAACAAGTTGGGAGGTAGTGTCGATTTGCCTGAGGGTACAGTGGTCCTTCAGAGGGATCTGGATAGGCTGGACTGCTGGGCTGAGACAAATGGGATGAGGTTCAACAAGCCAAGTTCCAGGTCCTGCACTTTGGCCACAATAACCCCATGCAGCACTATAGGCTTGGGGCAGAGTCTTCTAACAGAAGACTGTGAAGAGGAAAGGGACCTGGGAGTGTTGATCGACACTCGGCTGAGCATGAGCCGGCTGTGCTCATATGGCCAAGAAGGCCAACGGCATCCTGGTCTGTAGTAGAAATAGTGTAGTCAGCAGGGCCAGAGAGGTGATCATCCCTGGTACTCAGCTCTGGTGAGGCCACACCTCAAGTACTATATTCAGTTTTGGGCTTCTCACTACAAGAAGGACATCAAGGCCCTGGAGTGCATCCAGAGAAGGGCAACAAACCTGGTGAGGGGTCTTGAGCACAAGTCTTATGAGGAGTGGCTGAGGGAGATGGGATTGTTTAGTCTGGAGAAGAGGAGGCTCTACATTGTGCTCTACAACTTTCTGAAGTGAAGTTTTGATGAGGAGGGGGTCAGCCTCTTCTCCCAGATAACTAATGACAGGACTAGAGGAAATGGCCACAAGTTATGCCTGAGAAAAGTTAGATATCAGGAAAAAAAATTTCTTACAAAGAGTGGTCAGGCACTGGAATGGCCCACCCAGGGAGGTGGTGGAGTCACCATCCCTCTTGGTGTTCAATAAGCACCTGGACAGGGTGCTACGAGATATGATTTAGTAGTTTAGTGGGTCTTATTGGCAATAGGAGGACAGTTGGACTAGATGATCTTGTAGGCCCTTTCCAACCTTGTGTTTCTATGAATCTGTGATTCTCCCTGGGCACAACAGCAGCTTCAGCAGCGGGGACCCACAGCTCCAGTGTGTGCATGTGAGCTCCTGGAGTGCCTCCTTAATACCCAGTCAGTCAGCAAAATGCAGAGAGCATTATGAGCAGATGTAGAAGCAGAACACCTCCACACCTCCATGGGCAGACACATAAAGAGAGGACGCTGCACTCCCAGGAGATGGGGCCATGACAAGGGGTGTACATGCAGCAACGTGGGGTGGAAGGTGAGATGTTGGAACAGTTTGGATCTAGTTGCAAAATGGTGTTAAGGAATTGGTGTTTATCAACATGTTGGAAGTGCATAATATTTATGTTTATGTGCTGAATGGCAGATAGCGATCTTGCACATACACCTCATTGGTTGCTGGCCTGTAATTTAATAAATCAATTCAGCCTGAGCTTAATTTGAACCAGATGAGTTGAGCATTTTTGCCTTGAGACATGAACTCTTTGAAGCACTGCATGGACTCCCTCTTAATTATGGCTGCTACGTGTCCACAGGCAGCATGTGCTGATGTAAAAATAATTGTTTAGAGTGCATTTTCTTTCACTTATGCATATTAGAAAACATAAATTAAAATATTAAATGTGGTAATGCCTTTTCACTAGAGAGGATTCATGTTCACAGAGTGAGATCATGTCATTTCAATTTTGGCTTAAATGTACAATTCCATTCAAATGTAGGGAACTCGAAATGTTCTGAACAAACTGGCCACAAAAGTTTCACTTTGAATGAAAGCAAGATTTGTAATGAGGCATCTATGCTTCATTTGAAAAAGATGAATTTCTAAGCCTTGGAAGCCATCCCATCTTCTTATGACTTTGGACTCCTCCTCGCAGTGATAAACATATGAAATACTACTTGAAATCCAAACCTTGAAAGCTAATGCTACTGACACTTAAAAGAATAGCAGATAAATCAAAACTAATACGAAATGACTGAATATCAAGGGCAAGGCTGAAACAATGAGAAGATCGTGCAGCCTTAACTTTTCAGGTAAGTGAAGGAAGGCAGTGTCTCGAGGAGACGTCTGCTTATTGTGCACCGTGAGCTGCAGGGACATACATCAGACTTGTGTTTGTTATTTATAATAACAACAAATAAGCAATAAATGTTATTTTAGAAAGAAAACAGAGAAAATATTCTGCCCAGAGGGGACAGAGAACGGGAACTGGTGGCCTTGGCTGCGCCCGCAGCAATGTTTCATCACTTCAGCCGGCCGGCTGTCGGTCACCGCCTCGGAGGCGTCATTGTCATGGCTCTGCCAGGCAGCACGGAACGCCTGTGGCCGCACAAAGCTCGCCCGGCTCCGCCAACCGCTCGCCGCGCGAGGAGAAACAGATGGAGCCGCCGCATCGGCGGGGCGCCGGCAGCGACCAGGGCCCGCAGCCCCAGCCCCGGGGCCAGCCTCGGCTCGCCTGCTCGGCTCCGCCTGACGGTCGGGGCTCTGCGGACAGCGGCGGGCTGGGGCCCGGGCTGAGAAGAGTGGCGGCAAGAGCTGCGCAGGACGCGAGAGGTGGGCAACGGGACGGGAGCTCTTCTTCTTAATCATTACCAAAGTACAGGTGGTAATTAAAGTACATCTTCAGTTTGAAACATATTTGTTGTATATAGTCCTAATTATCTTGTTTTGATTGTGTTTGCTTAATAGCACTCTGCATCTTAATATTCTATTTAGAAAAAACAACTTCAAGTTTTTCACCCTTAGTATTGTAATGGTAGTTTAGTTACGCTTCTGCTGCTCCTTTAGTGGTGATCAGTGGAGTAAAACAGAAATGCCCCATTCTCTGGATGTGCTACTGCTTGGGTATGATGCAAAACACCTTTTGTATGGTCATTAAGTTTACATAGAGCATGGTCAAGTAACAAGACAGGAATAGTTATTTTGGCAAGGTAAGTAGAATCTTTAAGTTTCAGGTTCAAGATTCTTTCTTGACTACAAAGTATTACCTCATTGAAATCCCTAAAGATTAATTATCTATTTTTCATTTGAATGTGGCTTAGAGAAAGAAGGGTAGGAAGAAAGTTCATTTGCTGATGATAAGGTGACGGTTCCTGACATGCCTCAGAAGCTGGCTTCTCAGGTGATAAGCCTTAAGGGATCCATGTTCCCAAGAGAAGGGCTTCCATGGTATGTCAAAGAGCTCTTAGTAAAGGAGAGCTGAGAGGCACTAACCTAAAATAAGGTAAGAATAGCCCTCAGGCAAATTTTGCTGTTTCAACAAAAGAAAAACATTACTTTCTTTTATTTGCTTGTCTCATGAAGGTAGAAAGAGTGTTGTTGTCACTGGGGGAAAAAAAAAAAGGGGGGGGTAAAAAGGAAAAAAAAAAGGGGGGGTAAAATAGATCTCAGTAAGTATCTCTGATAAAGTTTAGTAGTGAAAAAGTTAATACTAGTGAACAAATCTTGTTTCTGTCATTGTCGTCGTCATCTTCTGCTACCACCACCACCTCCTCCTTCTTCCCTCCACACTTTTTCCTGAGTTCCTGATTTCTGTGCCTTTTTGTACAAAATACTGTGTCCCAGTTCTAGTTCAAACTACTGCAGTGTTTTTAAGGGGGCACATCAGGTGATTTGATTGGTACTGTTCCTTCGTGTTTTGTAATTCTTTATGTTGTACTGTAGAAGGTTTGAAAGGTTGATGTAGGTTTCTCTTTTTTTTTTTTTTCTCCTCAGCAAACATTCAGAGGAAGAGGGTAAGCTTCGTAAGCAAGGAAAATACCGCTTGTAAATACATGAAAACTTCTAGTGAAATCACACAAAAAAGTATTTGTACAGTGTCAAAAAAAGAAGAAAAACTTTTGGAAAAGGTAATTTGCAGTGCTTTGAATGTTTGAAGTGTTGTTTGTGTGTGTTTTAAAACAGATTCATTAATGTTTATAACAAGGTATGTTTGTGGCGAGGACTTCAGGGGAGGACTAAAGAGTTGGTGACAGTCTTTCTAGGGAGAATCATATGAGTGTTTGAAGGGGGGATTATTTTGAATGGATTCTCTGTTTATCTGAAATTTAAAATATTTTTGATTGCCATATAAGGCAAAATTTCACATAAAATATGCAAAAATTGGATGCACTCATATATAAGTAACATTTTCTTTGTGAGTGGATCTTGGTATAACTTGAAAGTGTGTCAAACAGTAGGTTTGCTCCTGCATTTGGTAATTTGCTTTAGGCAAACCAGACTTATGTTCTTTCCAGAAGATAGAAGTAGGAATAATTACTTGAAGTAATAACAATTTCTTTCTCCATTTGCAGAGAATATCTGAAAATTCTCCTTTAGCTCCATGACTGCTGCCTTGCCTTGGTCCAACATAAAAAGGAGATTTTTGTTAGGAGAAAATGTGCTCGAGATTGGGTAGAAAGGGGGGAGGGAAATACTGAAGGGCTATGGAAACAGCTTAAGTGGTGTTCTGTGCTGGTAGGAAGGGATGAGGAACAAGAACTGAGTGAAAAAAAAATAATAATAAAATTAAATAAAATCATGTGATCAGCAGAATCTGAAAGAAGTAGCTGTGTTTATACAAAAAAAAAAAAGACAGGGAGAGCATGGGGTTGTGGAGGTGCTGATGCATTCATCAGTTAGATGTCAGGAATCCTTGGGAGATGGGGAATTTAAGGGATACCAGCTTAGTCCTTCATTGACAGCAATTTCTGATAGTAAAAAGCTTTCTCCTCTCTGCATTGAAGCTGGAGAGGAAAGACTGACAGATTCTGAAGGAGGGGATAGAGTGCAACTTTCTAAATTTTAAAATTAACACTGTGTATATATGTGTACACATTTAAATGTTGATCAATTTTTAGATTTGAAATATTTTTTTTATTTTTATTATAGATCAGACTTACAATTTATGAATTGATGGATATTTTAAATAATGACTTCTTTAATCAAAAATTAGAAAGTTTAAATAGAAGACTTTTACAAGCGCAATGCAAAAAAAAACAAACATGGAGAAATAGCTATGACATTCCTAGTAAGTTTCTTTGGATAACTGTGTGAATGTTTTGCTTGTATTGCATATGATTGTTATGTTACCTTAGAGAAAGAAGATGCTAAACGTATACAATCTTTTCATCTTGTGTGACATAAAGATAAGTTAATAATAGCTTTATTCTCAGCCTTTGTTTGTTGCAATTGTTTCACCATCTACTTGTCTTATATAATAATAATATATAAATTTATTTCAGGTGAACATTTGAAGTAATACTGTTTTTCTTCTCTGTTGCAGAGGAAACTATCAAAACTTGAGAGACATATTAATGCTGTGATAACACTTCATGAGGAAGTGTTTTCAAAAATAGCTGTTAATCGGGTATGATGTAGATGCATATGCTAGTATAGGCATTAATGCCTAATTGTAACCTGCTAGATAAGTGTGGATGTTTACAGTGACTGCTACATTGCTGTCACTTGCATTAAGAACAGAAAAATCTGTGCAGAGATGTTAGGTTGATCTTTTGAGGATTTGTTTATTTTCAGTTGATTATTATATTTCTTTTCAGTCATCATGATTAAACAAACTCAGAACAGCATAGATGCTGCATGTGTTGACAGCTTTTGCTTTGATGCTGTTTTGTTGGAGAGACATTGGAATTCTTTCTGTCAAAGGGTCAGACTTCTTTTTTACAAAGCTAAAGCTAAGTGCAGCATACTTACCCCTTTGCATTACCTTTGATCAGCCACTTAGCTATAATCTACCAGTTACATAGGGGCCAGGAACTGCAAATCAAAAACTAATTTCTTAGGTGATTTTCAAATTGAAAATACAATAAAGTTAAGTGTTAGCAAAATAGCTGTTAATACATGTGTACTTTCATGGAAGGTATCGATACATTAGTACTAAGAGAAGCCTACAAAACATCTTTTTTTTTTTTTTTTTTTTTTTTTTTTTTTTTTTGTGGGAATATTTGAGTATTAAGAAGAACAGAAATTTCTTGTGATTAGGTTGACCATACTTTGTTGTGTTTTTATAGGAGAATGAGTTCTGTGAACTGTCAACACCCTCTTCCATGCTGACTGTATGTTTCGTGACAAATCTCACTTTTACAGGAATATGCTTGTTTAAAAGAAGCCTTTGGAGTCTAAGTCTTTTGGTCTTTCACATCTAAAATTGTAACAAGAGTTGCATGTGACAAACATAGGCTTGTTGTTTTGTTAAAGGCTTTCGTGCATTTTACAAAATTCTCTTTATATCTTCTTAGTTTCTGCCCAAAATCTTTAAACGGAAAGCATAAAATAGGATAAGGTATACTAAGATGCTTATTTTAAAATTCTTAAATATATTAGGATGTCTGGGTTTATTTATTTATTTAACCAAATTAAGCTTCAGGTTATTTTTTAACTTACTTCGGCATCACTGTGCACTTTGGGTAATTTTTGTTTTGTTGCTATGTTTAAATACATATTGATTACTTTTGCACTACAAATATGACCATGTTTATACCGTAGGTTTTATGACAATGCAGTATTGTTTTCTCCTTCATCAGATAATGCTTCCAAGTTCAGACAATCAAAACATGATACTAAACCATCTTGGACACTCTGCTTTTTTTCCTAATATCATAAACACACAAGGAAGTTCCTCAAATACATTTTTGCTGTCATCTCATACTGGTTTCACTTCAGCAAATGTTTCAGAATATAAAAGCTACATATTTAGATTTGAATAGTGAGATGTAGTTAATATCACAGAATCACAGAATTTCTAGGTTGGAAGAGACCTCAAGATCATCGAGTCCAACCTCTAACCTAACACTAACAGTCCCCACTAAACCATATCCCTAAGCTCTACATCTAAACGTCTTTTGAAGACTTCCAGGGATGGTGACTCCACCACCTCCCTGGGCAGCCTGTTCCAATGCCTAACAACCCTTTCAGTAAAGAAGTTCTTCCTAACATCTAACCTAAAACTCCTCTGGCGCAACTTAAGCGCATTCCCAGGCACGTGGGAGAACAGGCCAACGCCCACCTCGCTACAGCCTCCTTTGAGGTATCTGTAGAGAGCAATAAGGTCGCCCCTGAGCCTCCTCTTCTCTAGGCTGAACAAGCTCAGCTCCCTCAGCCGCTCCTCGTAGGACTTGTTCTCCAGGCCCCTCACCAGCTTCGTCGCCCTTCTCTGGACCCGCTCAAGCACCTCGATGTCCTTCTTGTAGCGAGGGGCCCAAAACTGAACACAGTACTCGAGGTGCGGCCTCACCAGAGCCGAGTACAGGGGGACGATCACCTCCCTAGCACTGCTGGTCACACTGGTTCTGATACAAGCCAGGATCCCGTTGGCCTTCTTGGCCACCTGAGCACACTGATGGCTCATATTCAGCTGACTATCAACCATCACTCCCAGGTCCTTCTCTGCCTGGCAGCTCTCCAACCACTCATCTCCCAGCCTGTAGCTCTGCTTGGGGTTATTGCGCCCCAGGTGCAGGACCCGGCACTTGGCCTTGTTGAACTTCATACAGTTGACCTCAGCCCATCGGTGCAGCCTATCCAGATCCTCCTGCAGAGCCTTCCTACCCTCGAGCAGATCGACACACGCACCTAGCTTGGTGTCATCTGCAAACTTACTGAGGGTGCACTCAATGCCCTCATCCAGATCATTGATGAAGATATTAAAGAGGACCGGCCCCAGCACCAAGCCCTGGGGGACGCCACTAGTGACTGGCCTCCAACTGGACTTGAGTCTGTTTACCACGACTCTTTGGGCCCGGCTATCCAGCCAGTTTCTAACCCAACGAAGCGTGCGCCAGTCCAAGCCAAGAGCAGATATATCCGTACATTGCTTCAAACTATTTATGATGAAATTTATTTTCTTAAAAAAAAATAATACTGTTTTTCCTTTTTTTTTTTTTAATTTAATTTTAAATTCTTTTTAATAATTGAATTTAAACTTGATTGCCATTGGGTGTCCAGTGCTGTTCCTGGTATCTCCAATTTATCCATTGCAGCTGACACTAGATCATCAGTTCTTAAAGTTCTTCAAGAAAAATATCACAGAATCACAGAATGGTTGAGGTTGGAAGGGACCTCTGGAGATCATCTAATACAACCCCCTCACTCAAGCAGGGTCACCCTGAGCACGTTGCACAGGATCGCATCCAGGCAGGTGTTGATTATCTCCAGAGAAGGAGACTCCACAGCGTCTCTGGGCAACCTGTTAAGTCTGTTAGGGCAGTGATTTCTTATTGAATGTCAGGAAAAAAAGTCTCTATAAAGGTATTTTAGTATTCATAGATGGAAAATTTTCCAGGTAACTTCTTAATAGGAAATGTTTTCTTCTTAAAAAAATCACAAACTTACTTCAATTTTTAGCACACTTATGGAATGAGAGAAATCCAAAATCCAATAAATACTTCTATTTATTATATTATGAAACATTAGGTTAGAATATATTAAATCATTGATCTCAAACTTACATTGATGAAAGAATGCACAAGATTCCTTAGTTTGTTCTGAAAGGTAGTAATCACTTTTATTTTTCCATATGTTACTTCAAGTTTTATTTTATAGAAAAATGTTTTGTTTTGTTTAACCAAATTAATCTTTGCTCATGGCTAAAATAAAATCACAAAGGGAATTTGATAGTTCATAATCAAAGATGAGTAAGATCAGTACTTTGACACAGCTTGACCAGTATGGTTGTAATTTCCTTGATCATAACAGAGTATTTAGAGGAAAGAGCTGATATGGTTTAACTGTCACAAAATCTGGCTAGGGTTCTTCTTTGGGGAAATCTTCTGAGTCTGCTGTGTTAAATTGCTTTTCTTTTGATCAAAACAGATGCAATAAAACTGGTGCATCCTGGATACTTAAAATTTCCTCCACTTATATAACATCTGCATGTGCAGAACCTGTTTATAAAGTAGCACTGCCCTGCTGATTTGATGTCTGTTCTTCCTGACGCATGGCATCAGGAAGTGCTAGATAAAATGCACCTCAAAAAGGGCAGCACAAATGTAGAACGGATGCCCACTTAGGTATCTTTTTCTCTCAGTAAAATTACACATAATATGTTTCCTGTCCATCTTAGATATTTTACACCTCAGATCAACTGGGCTAGCTTAGCCATTTATAATAAAAGTAAATAATATATATCGTATATATATAATATATGAATGTATTATAATATATATATATATTATAATCATATAAATTCTGCAGGAATTTGCTTTGCTGTCCACACTATAAAATTGACCTATTAGCAGGTATGCATTTTGGTTTGCATAAGGGCATCTATTTTTGATATTTTTGAGTATTAAATGACCTTGGAACTGAGACAGCAAAATATGCCTTCATAGATCCCCGTGTACCTGCAATTTACTATTGCATATACTAATGCCATGAAGTTGTTGGGTTTTGTGCAATGTGAGAAATTAATGGTTACAGTTTAGAGAGCACAAACTGTAGTACTAGTGGACAGAGTTTCAGTTAATGCATACCCCTATTTTTAAGAAACAAGCTGAATAACTTGTTATTTTACTAAGATGGAAGCAAGTAGAATTTATATCTATAAAAGATGTCTAGAATATGAATGCTCCTTAATTGCATATTTCACTGTTAAAAAAATAAAATGTAGGAATTCACAATTTAGTCAGTAGAATGGATTCAAAATGTTTTGTTGGTGACATAAATTATATGTTTTATTAATGGTTGATTTACCGAGCCATTATTTTGTTATTTTAATTATGTTTTAATCAACAAGTTCAACTTTTCATTGTTGATGTATTTGTGTAACCATATTTAATGCCTGTTTGGAAATGAATTGATTCTTATACATCTCTAAGTTTTATATTTTTTGTTTTATTAGTTCTGATGAAGTCAGACTGAACTCTGTGGAAAGACAAAACTCAGCAACTACAAATAATTCAGGTATTCAAAGTTAATGTGGAATTCATGAATGCTAATTCCTATACTACAGAATATACAAAATACATCTAGAATATTGTCTACAACTTTTTTTCTTTTAAAATAGCATTAAAATACACTCGTGTTTCCAAAATATTTATAGGCGTGGCAGTTGTTTGTTTCTTTGTTTTTAAGTTACATTAGCATGTCTTCACTGATGATGATGTCCATCAGCGGATTTGCATTATTTTAAAATTCTGGAAATTAAAACAATTGAAACTCTTGTATGATGGGACACAACTGGAAACTTTTATATATTCAACACACTGTTTTACTACTACATTACTTTCAGGGAATAAGAAATTAATTTAATTGCCTTTGTAATAAATTCGTATAACAATAGATGTTTCAGAGCACTACAAACTAGGTTGTTTGTTTGTAATAAGTTCAACTGTCATATAAACAGTGTAAGTGACAGTGTGAGAGTTCTGAGCAGCCCTTCCCTCATTCTGAGATTGCTACTTAAAGGAACTAAATATCACCCTTTAACCAAGAGTAATGCACGGTAAGCATTCATTACAATTGGACAAATTTACTGGGGGGGTGGGGGTAATGTCAAGAAAAATGTTATTCCAAAAATCTTGACAAACATGCTCAGAATGCAAATTTTCTCATGCTGCTTCCCTATAGAGATGTATTTGATTTTTAGAACCCCTCTGAGATGGTTCTGGGAGGGTTGGGTTGACTTGCTAGATAGTTGCTGCTTAGAGGCAGCACCAAGTGTTCTTGGCAAGTCTATCACTTCAATAAGACTGCTGTCCCATGTGTTTTGGGAGTGGGGACAGGTAATATTCTACTGCTCTGACAAGCTCTAAAAAGGATTCTTGTCACAGTGTACATTAAGACTTATAGATCAAATGTGTTTGCATCTTTTAAACTTCTTTGGAAATTTGTATTACAGTGAATCTACATTACCAAATACCCACACAAGCAGAAATGACAGGAAAAGTTCAGGTAAAAACAATAAACTAAGATTTTTTATTATTATTATTCAGATAAAACCTATTTTAGTTGATGGTGCATAGACTGCTTCAATATCCTGACTTTTGAGTTAGTTTTATAGGTGCTTAAATTTGAGGCAAATATATGAACACCATTATGGGAATGGCAGTATGGGGACTGTCATTACCTCTGGCTTGTATTATTCTATCACGTTCTTAAAGGTGAACTTACAAGGAAAAGAATGATGTGAAAAGTGATGAAGAAATACTGCTTTCCCCTTTGGAAATTGAAACCTTGTCTTCTGGATGATTGTAGTGAATGAAAAACTGCAGCAACAATTGGGTTGTGGGCACAGGAAGCTGAGCAAATGAGAGATGGAGATGTTGGTCAGTCTTGAACTATGTTAGTTTTGTATCTACTTATTCAGTTTCATTTATTCTTCATTTTGGATAGAACAAGAATATTTCAAGGAAAAAAAAAAAAAAACAAAACTGTCGGTCTCTCCCACCATAGACAGCTTAGTCTGACTTGTTTTTCAATCCCTTAAACCTTTCCCATCTGAAAAGCCACTTGGTAGTCTGTGTGCAGAATGCTTTTTCAGTAATTTTGAATCTGACTCTGTAGTCCATCTAGTCCATCTTGGCTGATTTTTTTTTTTTTTTTGATTTTGAGAAAATCATAAATAATTGCAAAATTTAAGTCCTGAGGAACATGGATGGCTCTTACCCCAGTAATCTCTATGTCCTCAGAAATCCAGAGATCACAATGGGACTGAAGTTTGTTTAGTAACCTCTTTCTTACCAGTGAGTTAAGTCAGTGAAATTATATTGGTGACAGCAGCTTAGTCAATGGGATCAAATTAGCAGTGCTTTTTCTTCTTCTGGGAAGGGGGAGTAGACAAAACTGTATTGGTCTAAATTTGTATATACTGGTATAAAAACACATAGTGTTTAATGGTTAATTAAATTGATCAGCTGAGTAACTATTTTCCATGAGAATATCAAAGAACATAAAAAGGTACAATTTAGCTCTTGAACTGTTAGGTCCTATATAGTTTTTGTTTGTGTATCTAGTACTGAGGACACTTTCAAGAACAACAGGACCCAAACAATTAGACGACTTTCTAAATAGTTTGTTGCTAAACATCAGGTATTGCTTTTACTTGTGTGAATTTCTGGGTATATACTATGCCTGGCTCTACAACTTTACATTTTTACAAGACTTTTCTTGTTTTGTTATAAGAAATCTAAGCTAATATATAGAATTCTGTTCTGCAAACTGTTAAGTGATCTTCTTCATACTTGATCTTTAAAACCAAAAGAGAAGCTTTATCATGAAATTGTATATTGTTTTATCAGAGTGAAATGAAGGGAGGAAAACTCAGTGATGGGCATAATTCAAGAAAAAAGCCATAACTGTAGCAAAGGTAAAAGAAAAATGTTTTCATTTACTTTTCAATATTCTCATTTTACTTTTCAAAAATATTTTCATTTACTTTTTCCTTATCTCCCTAAACTTAATATCTGAAGTATAGCTATGTGTTATTCAGTTTATTTAAGGATAAAATAATTTTATAAAATCATAAAACTGTATGCATTTCTCAAAAGAAAAGCACTCATGCAATAGCAGCTGCTTTTGCATGTCTCCATAATAGCAGCAAATGGATTTTGGAGATCAAAAGCAGTATTTATAAGAGATAGCTGTTTACTGGCTACAAATCCTGTCTATTGCTCTCACAACCCCTACTCCTAACAGGAAAGTTATCATATTTATACTTTGTTGCTGTTACGCTGAACAGTCTTGTTAACTGCTTGGTAATAAAGTTAGTCACACTGTGTCATTGGAAGGGATAGTGTTGAGTATAAACAAAAGCGACTCCTGTTCTTCATCCAGCTAAGTGTAGGCTTGTTCTCAGCGTGATAGGAACTGATTCTCATTCTTGCTATGAACATGTATTAAATAAGTACTTCTGGTGAAGCTAGGCCTAGTTTTTGGTGGTTTTGTTTTGTGCTAATTTTAAATTGGGTCCAGATTCTTTGCAATCACTACTAAGCACATTCCATATTAGAATAATTTTTAAATCCAGTGACGTGAAAAATCTAAACAAATGTGTTATTGGATCCACTTGAGAATTGCTATATTACTTGAAAAAATATAATTTTTATAAACCGACACATCTGTATTGTGTCTTTTAGTTGGTTTCACAGCTTTGATAACAGGTATATGTCTTTGAGAACAATTTGAAAGCCATGTTGCTGGTGGAAAAAATTTGCAATTAATTCTGTATGGGATGAAGTAGTATCCATCTAGTATCTATGACTGGAAGATGAAAATCAGTGGTTACATGGATTCAGGATGACTGATTCTGTTTCACTTACAGTTTAGTTCAGCTAGATTATTGTTAACTAAGACTAAGCAGTCTGCCAGTTTGAAGAAATTTTTGCTTGGTGGATTGATTTGTAAAGATAGGAATATTAGCCTGAAACTGACACTTCTTACAACAGGGAAAAAGTCACAACCTGTGAAGAAAAATCATTGTTAAAATCCTTACTTTGTATAGTAAAGCTGTCTTATGATAGTTTATTGGGATAGAAAAATAGTTTTTAAAGCTTGCTTCTTGTTTGCAGAGCAAAGAGAAAAAGATCAGAAATTTTTACCAAACTAATGACATTCAAAGCCAGTGTGCCTCAGTTAAGGGTTCCTAAAGCTGTGAGAACAAGTATCAAATGAGTTACTTTCAAACACAAATGAGTTTACACAAGCTTAGTGTGGTATTAATTGTGGATTTGCGTATTGCAGTATGCTTTAGAACTGGATGGCATGTTAAAAGATATTTTCAAATGGGAAAGGAATGGTGTTTAAGTAGTTGGGCTTTGAAGGAGTGGGCTACTCTTTCGCCACGAGGAGGCTCTATTGTAATGCTAAAAGAATAGTAAAAACTTTGACAGAAGCAGGCAAATAAGTAATGCTAGGAAGTATTACGGCTAGAAATAACCCCCCCCCCCCAAAAAAAAATCCTAACCCCTAAACTTGTCCCAGTTATCCTTCCCATTTCCTCTTCCCTCTGCTTCTCCCTCCTCCAAATTTTTCATGACTAAAAATGTGTTAAAACATTATTTGCTAACAGGATTTAAATTTTTACTCTATGAACAAAACAGTTTTGATTCTTTGACACAGATATTTAATCATGGATATGACTTCTGCTGCTGAAAATATTTTACTAAAAAGTAAATAAAACTATGCTAAGTAACATTAAAAAAAAAGAGAGAGAGAGAGAATATAGTACCTGTTTTATTTTACCTCTTGCCTATAATATGTTAAAAAGGTTGAATCTGTGAAGCAGTGAACACAGGCATTATATTCCTACTTTGTCCTTTGTATTAATATGTGCATATTCAGTTTGAATGAAGTTTTCTGAACCTTAGCATTTATGACAGCAGCACAACTGCTTTTTTTTATTATTTTATTTTATTTTATTTTATTTTATTTTATTGGGGGGGGTATTTTTTTTGATTCAAATTTGCTGACTTGAATCTTAAAAATACATTTTCACTTGTTTGGCACTGGTGGTTTTTGTTGTTGTTTTGTTTGTTTGCTTTGGAGGAGAAATAGAACACAAGCTTTCTTCTCCAAGCAACAGCAGTAAAATAGAACAACATCTGCACTGCATGATACAGTCCAGACATCATCAGGATGGTTTCATATGTGCTGAAAATGATAATAATAGTTTAATTTTGTGACAGCGCCTGCTGGTTTACTCAGCCATGCAACGTACATGTGTTTTAAAACTAAGTGACTACGTACATGCATGTTTGTTTGTTTGTTTTCTGAATTTGTTAATGGGGGAAAGGTTCAGAAATTCAGTTAGTTAGCAATGATCCATGGTAAACAAATATCCCTCTAGATGTAAGGCACTCCCTTCAATAGCACACAAGTTTTTGTTTGTTTGTTTGTTTTTTTCCTAAGTTGTTATTATGAGCATGCAAGGAGTATTTTCTACTTCAGGTACTGGGAAGGTAGCATGTTGCTGACATTTGGTTTCTGAATGTTAATATGCAAACATGAGATAATTTCTAACACTTGTTAGCTTGGCAACTATAGACAGTAATAATTCAGAAGTTTATGTATTTATGTGAAGGCAGGCTTGTATGAATAAAAATTAGTGCATTTGGCTTCTTCTTATTGTTGTTATATAACAACTGCTTTTGTTTTGGTGCCTAGACTTTCAAGCAGTTTCCACATCTTGGCAGTTGCCAAGGATCCTTCCTTCTCCAGAGCTTGCTGAAAACCAGCAAAACTGCTCTTCCTCAGAATCCTGAAACTAGAAGAGGCCTATGTGCAACTGTTGTCATGGACACTTTACGGAAGTTGATCCGAAGTGTGCTCCCCTACCCAGTTATAATTTGTGTCTTCTCCATGAAAACCTCAATACTACTATTGAGGTACTACTGCATCACGTTGAAAGAAAACAGGCAAAACAAGGGCCTTTCCACTTCCAATGGCTTGCTCACAGGTTATCACCCAAAGAAGTACTAATTTGTCATTTGATTAAAAAGAAATGTGGAGATTACAGATCATTCTGTGGTAATCTATAACTCCTCTCTCTCAGTCCCAGACTACCTTATGAACTGGTCTTCTATTCTTCCATTATTAATTACTATATTCTTACTTGCAGTGAGTTTTGAGTCTCGTGAGGGCAAAAATGTCAAGGTGGATTCACAACTGCTAGGTTATATTCTAATAGTTTGGACTTTTCCCTTTTGTTCACTATGATTAGAATGCTGAAAGTTTTATGAGGTTTGGGAAATTATTTCTGTGGAGTTGCAGGGAGGGGAGCAGGGTTTGCTTTAGAACAATCTATAGGAACCCATCTGTACTTCTGTCATTTCAGTGGAAACCCAAAGCTTGGACTGCAGCAGATATGGAAGCACTGGCTTGTTTCTAACATCTCTCACATAGTCAAGGCACTCAGAATAATCTTAAATGCACAGCTGTTTCTGCAAATGAGGAAAAGAGAGTTTACAAGTAATCTTCCTATCACAGCATGTGTGGATGTTGCATTATTCAATAGCTATTCTTGTGGGGCCATGCACTTACATGGTTCAATACACTAATGTTTTCTCTCCTTACCCTGAAAGGCCTTCAACAAAGGACAAAAATAACCAGCTTATGGTTCTAGTACAGGCAGGAAGAATTTAATTTTACCTGTTCACACAAATACTCAACTATTTCTCATCCAGCATTGTGTAAATATATCCCAAACTTAAAAACAAGATCAAACTGCTAAATGTATCTAGCTTGCTATTACAGTACAATAATTTGTTTTAACTTTATTTTCATGTACAGCTTCAGAATATATAGACCATAGAAAACTGTATATTTTAGAGGCACATCAGGTAGAAATAATATCCTAAAGTATGTTTATCCCATTAACTCTAATCCAAGCTTTTTGGCATTTTCTTGGTACTCAGAACATTCACATCTGTTCTATGTGGAATCATGTATATGCTGCTGTTTGTATGCTACAGTGAGCGTGGTTTTCATTTCTAACTAAAGGGACTGCACTTTTACTGTTGAAGCTGAGTTCAGGTATATATACATCTTTATTTTAAATATTCATTCTATAAATGACCTAAGCATTATCAAGGCAATAAACTGAAGAAGCATCTCTTCAAGTCAATGTCATAGTAGCTTACCTTACAATTTTATAGAACTATATTCTAGATACAAAAGTTTTAATCCCTATTTGCTTTAGAATTTTTTGTCGTACTATTTCATGTTTGAATAAGGCTCGCAAAATGTCTAGCTTATACTCTATCTACTCTTAGCCTTAAACCTAAATCTGTTTATTTAAAACAAATTCTGCTTGCTAGCAAAATTCAGGCTTTGAATCTGAAATGTATTCAGCAAACTGTAGAAACACTTTTAAAAAGTAGGGTAGTAATGCTTGAAATTCAGAGTGTTCACACTAAGAGGGAGAGAAAAATTGACAAAATAATAGTGTCGTGCTAGACTGGTGAGAACGCATTTTGCTCAAACTGATTTATTGCATTTTTTTTTTTAACTACTATTGCTTTTATTTGCTCTTCTACTTACATGTGTAATTTCTTACCAGACTTGTTGGGCTTTCTTCACTCCCTAAGATAAGTATTACATGTCAAAGCATTTTAGGATGTTCAATAGAGATGGAACTATCGTTAGTTCCATCTCTATTACTCGTGTTGGAGACCATTCCTATACTGGTTCAGTTTTGTAACTGAACTTTTACTCTGTGAGAAATCAAGGATGAATTATCTGCAGGAATGGGTCAGACCATCAGCTGATATATAACAGGGTAAGTTATCAACTTTAATAGAGCTACGCTATTTTGTAATAACAACTTTATTCTGTATTAAGAGTAAAACCTCATCCAAGACCTATTTATTTTTTATTGCCTATGTATTGGGCCAGCTGTAGAGAACATACTGAAGTAAATACATGGTTAGTGCTTTTACAAAGTCAAATCTGTATTTAAACATCAAAACTGTGACTAACCAGAAAAAGCAACTTCATTCATTCTCCACCTTGGTCTCCAAACTCTGAAATCACCATTAGCCAAAGCTAGTATTATACTGCTGAACAGTTAAGCCTGGTATTACAGTAGAGATTTCTCTCACAAAGTTATTGAGAAATAAAAATCACCAAGTCGTTTTATTTTGAAAAACTATCCTGGAACTCATAAACAAAACTATTACACTCTGATTTCTTTCCTTTTCAAGTAAAATCCACAAAAGAATTTAGAATTATTTTGGTAAAGGCCAATTTCCTAGTGGGCAGACTCAGGGAATGCTTTTGTAAATGATATATTAGCCAGGAAATTACTATCTAATCAAAGCCCAGTGTAATAAACATGTTGAGTTTGGCCATTTTTTTTCTTTCTTTTTTTTTTTTTTCCCCCGGAAAGACTGCACAATGCAAAAATAGAGGGATATAGGACTTGAGTGGAATATCTCTTACTCCTCAGACTACTCCAGTCCCAAGTTGTACACTGCATTTGCTGGTAACTTCTCTTGCCAAAGGCTCTGTATGCTTAAATGAAATGTGAAGGAGAATCAAGAGAATGATTTGCTGGAGTACAAAAAGGAGTTGTTTACTTTTGCAAAGCAAGTGGTTTTAATAAAAGCTCGATGACACTTACTGCATGTTATAAATAGCAGAACACTAGTCTTCTGCTAGAACAGGCATGCTGATTGCAGTTTTGGGCTTTTAAAATTGTTTGCTTTTGCACTGTGATTTTGGTCTAATTTTTGACTCCCCTATATTTTTCCCATCCCAAAGGGCTAGATCTGGGCCAGGAATATGGTTAGCATATTGCTTACAAATTAATTTGCAGAGGTTTTATTTGTAATCTGGCAGAGGCCAAGAACAAACTGTTAATGCCTAGTAAATGGAAAGCCATTGATGATGATGAAATATGTTTAAAAAAAAAAAAAAAAAAAGGAAAAAAAAACTTGCCTCTGTCCTGCTCAGCCCCCTGATCTGCTGGTGCCAGGCATTCCATTAAACCTGCCATTTTTTGGTATTCTGTTTCATATCAAGAACACAGTACATTTTTAGAGAAACAATACCTTTACTACAAAACCATGTAAATGATTATATACAAAATGGTTATTGGAATTTGGTTTTGTACTGTAGTGACAGAAATAACTAGCTGCTGACATTTATTTACGCTTCCTTAATATTAGGTACATAATGCCGCTGATCAGAGTAAAGGCAAATGCAATCCAGGCTAAGACGAAGGAATAGCCATATTGGCCTTCAGAAACTTCAGGGATATATTCATTGCTCTTGTGCAGTTCTTCATGCCTATCTGTATAAATGGAAGCTGCAATCATAACACACAGACCTAGAGGAGAAATAAAACAGCAAGATTTAGTAACCTTCGATACTGTCAATATGCATAACTATTCACTGACTTCCACCAGTGTCCTTTTCTGCAAACACTTATTTTCCATTCTCAGACTAAACTGGGAGCATTTCAGGACACATTTTCCATTTCTTTGGCAGGAACTAAATGTGAAGTGCTGTTGTGTATTCATGTCATTTGCAAAGAACACAAAATGATTCTAAACATCTGGATAGGTTTAAGGACTAACAAAAATTAAGGAAGAACCTGCCTATAACTATTGCAGAGTTATTCAATTTTATCGAGATGTTCAGAATCTTATATATTTTCCCTTCAAAATTTAAATTACTTTACTTCTGATCTGTGATATTATCCTTGTTTTAACTGACTAAATAGTACAGAATGGAGCAGTTCCATTTTTAAACAAATATGCAGGAGAATATATGACCTCCAGAGCCGTACAGATTACTCGTGCAGCTCATTCTTTTGGAAACCTTTTTCCCTTTCCTACTTTCACGTAATCATTAAATTCACAAGCGTTGAAAAATCACTCACATGACAGGAGCTGGATAATAGAGGTTAACACAAATCTTTCTCCTTGCTTTAGACGGAAGAGTTGAAGAATGAAAACCAGAAAAGCCACGCAACAGAAAATAGTAGATAGGATCATGGAGGCCTGAACAGCCTGAATTGATTGATACTCTGCAAAAACAAAAGCAACCTTGGTTAAAAACACAGTCTCTCTGCCTACTTCTGAAATGAGCAGAGGAGCAGAGCTATGTTCTCTAAACAGGAGTTCAGCACATATAGCAAATCAGTTGGGCATGTGTTGCCTAGGAGGGCCCTTCTCTGCTTTCTTAGTACTAATACAGCCAGTGGATTAAAGACTTAAAAGCTTTTTATAACTCTGAATAAAACCCCAGATAGACTAATTCTCACATACCACATCCTTTGCTACCCTCTATATACTAAAAACACAGTGGAAGCGCCAGGTGTCCAAAGTGACTTACAGCTGCAGAACCAGGCCTCTCACTAGAGCTGAAGACAGCTCTATTCCATAAGAAGTATCCAGATGTGAGAGCCACTCTCAGCACAAAAGATTCCTTACAGGTTTTTCCTCCTGACAATCATCCTTTATAACTAGGGGCTAAAATAACCAATAAAATTTTAACAACATGCAGCTAGTTTGCGTAACTTGGCTGCAATGATATGGACAAGCTGACCTGCAGAGATAAGCTGCTTATAGCACCTCTGCTTTAACACAGCTGTCAACACATCTGTGAACAGCAGACATACCTGAGCTACATTTAATCTACCTAGTTCTGGTAACTAATTCCAATGAATGCATAGTAATTCAAACCTACCCCAAGCATGGGGTAATTCACATTACTTTAGATAGGCCTGTGCATAGCAGGATTGTCTCACTGCAGTATGGATATGCCCTAAGCCAATTTTACATTCAAGCAGCCAAGTTACTTTAAAGCTACATGGCTCTTCATCTACTTCGTTAATATACACAAAGACTGAAAGTGTGGGAATGCAGCAAATGTAGCACTTGAGAATAAAAAAAATATTTATTTTGGTGAAGCAGGGTAAGTTAGGCTGTGCTATGTGTTAATTTATCTTTGTTAAACTTCAGATTATAGTCTTAGTTTCCTCCCATCCCTGTAAAGCAGCCAGTACTCTCATGTTCTTTCAAAGCTAAACTTCAGTTCTGAGAGGCAACTTCTATCACTGCAGAGCCACTTTTGGATGACTTCACTGTTTTTACCTGATCTAGAGTAAGAGTACTTTGGCACTCATTCACAATTGTTTGTGTTTACTCTCTTGTACTGGGCTACAGTTTTTTCTGTTTTCCTCTTACAGAAACTGTTGCAATAGCTGGCTTTGCCAAAGAGCCACTACTAAAGATTTTAGAAAACAGGAGCAGTTAGCATATACATTTTTTTTGAACAAATGTATTACTTTGCAGTGATTTTACCAATCTCCCACTAATGGAACTGCGACATACACATGCAGAAATACTCACCTCTGAATTGATCAGTTATAGCTCTGCAGGTGCTAGTGTTTGTGGTACACATTCTCCAGACATCTGTAGAAAAATTATCTCCTACCCACCAGGCCTGCAAAATAAAAGCAAAGGGCTCTTACACAAAAATAAATAAAAAAATAAAAAATAGGGGGGTGGGATGGAAGTGTTTCAAAACAAAAAACCTTCCCTCCTTAGTTATCCTAGTGGCTCCTGATCAGATGCATCAACTGGAACAATGTTCATTTTGCTACTTAACCACTCAAACTAAATTTCAATTCTAATGTGCTTAAAAGCATTCATACAGGCTAGGTATCAAGAAAGTGAGGGCAAGAAAGGTGTTACTCTACTGTATCTTTAGATGGGAGGGGAAGCCAACAGCTTCAGGAGTTAGAAAATAAGTTTGTGTTCTCAGTATAGAACTGAAAGCCTCAGTACCCCTGTTTGAGACCTGGATTTGTGGAGTAACAAGCAGAGAAAAGGTATCAGATGTCTTTCTACATGTTTCCTGATAAATTTCATGCTGAGTCATCTAGTGACCAAGAAACTAAAGGCTGCATCAGTTGCTATCTATTTGAACATGAGGAATTTAAAGCCAGACAACTCTGAGGTTTCCATATTTATTTAATAGGTATTTTGGAATAAAAGTTATCTCCTTATTTATGTATCATTTTCATTTTAGAGCTGTGTAAGGTTAAAAAAAAAAAAAAAAGGAATAGACAGAATAGATGGCAGTCCTGAAGCACAAGTGATTTTCTATGTTTGGACAGAAATCTTGGATGTTTGGTGATTGCTCGCTCCTTAAGATATCTAGACAATGATGCTTTGTTCATCCGTAATACCCTCTTTGGGATGCACAGCTCTTTAAAGGGTTGGGAAATAGCAGGGTAATATGCAGGTGAAACAGAAGCCCTGTTTATACATTTTCTGGTTCCTGGCACTGACATGAACTAATCTCAGCTTAATGAAGCTGTGCTGACAATGTGCAAATGCAATCCGTAGACTATGGCATCTGACTGGCAGTGACAAGTTCTCCCTGTGGTAGTTCTGGTTTGGTCTTTTAGCATTTAATGCAAAAGAGAACTACAGTGACTGAACAGATTTTTATGGTAGCCTGGGAAATGCAGCAAGCATTCCACAAAAGTGGCATTTCCTCAGGAAATCCGTTCCAGTTCCAATAGCTACCCAGGCCTTTGCTTTGACTAGATTTGGAAAAATATGACTTAAATATGACTCCTGGTAGCATCTGCTGCTTATGCAGACATTCCAGAAACCTCACAGAATACCATGCAGCTTAGCAAACAATACACTAATACACTAGCGTATTATGACAGCAGCCAAATGTGTCATAGTAGCACTGGATTACTGGCTTTAGGAAAAAGCATTACTTTCTCTAGGTGTACTAAGCCATTTTTTTTTTTTCAGTCTAAGTGATTAATTTCAGTCCAATATATGATTTTTTCAGCTTTGAATGCTTTTTAATCCTTTCAAAATGATTTTCATGACAACATAAAACCTGTGAAGGTGATATAATGTAATAGGAGGTAGTTACACAGTTTAAGTTTGCAGTTGTTTTAAAGTAGTCAACGACACAAAGCAGAGTGTGTGGGTTTGTATTTCTATAACAATTTTTTGTTGTTTTTTTAATCTAGCAGACCTGAACTAAGAATTATTCACTTGTCCACTGTCTTAGCTTTCTAAATATCCAAAGGATCAGGTTAAGACAACCTGGTTTTAGTGTTCAGTTAATGACCTACTTCAACGTACTCAATCAACCACCTGACTGAAAAATAACAACTCAGTCTGTACAATTTTGCAACACAAAGTTGTGGCTAATACATCATTTCACTTAGAGCATAGTGTCTGGAAAGACTGGGATTGAAACCGGCTTCAGTGAGTAAGGTAAAGTATTTCAAGCAGACAATTTTTTTTTGTCAAGCCTGTGTATTCACTGAATCTCTCAAAGAAATAAAGACTCCAGGGCACTGTTAAGAGGACCAATCATTGTGCTTCAGAAAGAGGTCATTCAGATTGAGAGTTAGATATAAACATTGGAAGATAAATTTTTTCTGGTCACAAAAATAAAAAGGAAATTTGAAAAGAAAAGCTGCATGATTCAGAAACTTTGTGCTGAAATTGCTTCAAGTGGATAGAGACAGTTAAATTCATGTCTGAAATTATCCTCATCTGAGGCTGGTTTGAAGAAAAGCTGCCACCTCTTTATTTAGTTGCATGATTTTAAGTGTTACACAAGAACAAACCTTGGGAATAGATTTTTTTTTTTTCTTATACATGTTTTTGTTCTTCTACCAGGTTGGTGGAAGACCTTTAAGATTCAAAACATACCTAGACAATAACTTGAAATTCTGTAAGTAAGAGTACATTGTATAAAACAAAGAAAAACCTGGGTGTTTGAAGGACAAAGAGAAGAAATGACACATACATTGTCAATAGTTGAGATGAACAGCAGTGCTGCTGAGGTTATGTGAAACACAATAATGAAAGCCAGAAGAATCAACATCCTTGAGCTGAGGAGACTTCAGTCCAAGATAGATCTGTTTAAAAAAAAAAAAAAAAAAAAAAAAAGAGTATATATGATCATTCTTTAAAAGCTGTTAACTGCTCAACCTGTCATTACACTATTTCACAGTGGCTGTGAGTGGTCACAGTCCTCACGAGTGTGTTTGATGCTGTTTGTTCGGAACATCGCAGGCAGTTCAGCTCCAGAGCACACATTCTGTCTCCAGAGGCACAAGATTTCACTTAATCAGACTTTTAATCAGTGTTACAGCTTTCAGTTTGTTACCCGTGATAGGTAGCCAGCACCACTGGTGTTAAGATGAAGCTCAACTTGAAGTGAAGCCAAGAGGTGTATTTTGTAATATGCCAGTGAGATGGCTGCAGTGAGCAAACAGAGAAGTTTCTGCAAGCTTCTCCAGCAAGGGTATAAAACACTCCTTCATGTTGACTTTTAGAGAAGTACTTTTCAAACTATGGCCTCATTTTCATTTGATGTCAGAATTTCACTGGCTTTAGTCCTGTTTTAGTCCTGGCTTTAGTCCTGTTTTTAGTCCTGGCATTTTCACTGGCTATGGTCCTGTTTTGACCACGCTTTCAAAGCAGGAAGAACTGCAGATTTCAATAGGATGCTGATAAAACAAAATTAAGTGTGTAAAGAACTACCTCCTATGTGTAGGAACAGGTGTGTTGTACCTTAGGCTTCACACAGGTTGTCTTTTGTTCATACAGTCACAAGTTTTACCCACTGGTAATTTAGGGCTACCATTTTCTCCAATAAATTTCTTGGACAGATAGAGTGGAATAAATCAGTTAGCAGCATAACAATCCAGTTAGTTATTTCATGTTCAGTAACTTAATACTGTCTCTAGTGCCCCTCTTATCTTCTTACCTTATATAGCCCATTTCACATCTCAAATGAAAAAGAAATAAAAAAAACTTAGGCACAAGGGAACTTTTTTTGATGTGAAATCCCCAGGAAATCTATGGACAGATAACAAATAGTTATGGCAAACTAGTTATTAACAGATAAGAATATGCAACTGCTTGGCATATCCGTTATCTTTTTCTTGTTGTACATAAATTCTTAACAATTATCATATGCAATATTCTACAAAGAATCCCCAGTTTTGCAGATATTTTCTTTGTATTTAATGTGTACCATCTGTGTCACTATCTGCATGTTATCACTCATCAGTACATTAATATATGTTTCTCCACTTCCTTAGCTTTTGAAATTTTCTTGTATGTCAAATGATCGTATCCATGCAACACACTAAAATATGTTATTTTTTTCATGTCTAACACTCTCTCCCCTACTACTGTGTGCTACACTCACAAACTACACGTAGCGCAAGTAATGCAGATGGAGAATTTAACCAAATAAAAGGACTACTTTGACAGCATTTTTGAACAGAATAGCAGCTCTACAGGCACTCTCATCAGTCCAAAATACAACTACTCTGCAAAACTTTAACAAAAAGTTAACAGACAGCATATAAACATGCTAAATACAGGCTAGAAGTTCCAGACTAATCCTTCACCCTCTGCACTGCAGGATAGCGCTTCGCTGCAGCACCGTGTTTAACGAGCAAAAAGCCAAACAACGTTAAAGAGCTTTTGAGAAATGATCCAAGAAATTTACTTCTATATCTAATTTGAATGATTGCATTGGAAAGCTACATCAAATCCTAAAACAAGGAAAGCAGCTAGTCAAATTTTTACCCCTTCCAACTTTCTCACTATTAAACTTGCCTTTTCAGCCACAACAAGAACCAGAAGTGGTAACCTCCTCCAAAGAGCCGATTCCACCACATGACTCAAGATCTTCTGAATCTACCAGCCGCATTCTGCTTCTAGAAATGTCATTCATGGCTCTCTACTGAGCCTTACTTGAATGAAAGGAAGGAAGAAGGAAAGGAAGATATTTTGTGGTTTTGTATAATACCACATCAAAATATTTTCATTGTAATATGTACCAGTCTTCTCACTGCACTCTCTTGTCTTGTGGTTAGTTTTTTTCCAGAGTTTCATTTGTTGCACAGATGGCATCTAAGCAGACAATAATGCAAGTCATCTGCCCTATAAGGAGAGAGAATCAAATTGCAGTCTATTATTTTAAGGCTAACAATATATCTTATTATGTGATGTGTCATGAATTAAGAGAGACAGAGAAAATGTAACCTAATTAAAACCAATCTTCCAAAATCAAGACCTGCCAGCCCAGAAAAAAATCCACTTAATTTCAATCAACTGAATGTTTTTGTTTTACTGCTTTCAGCCATAAACAGAAGTGTTTCAAACAGGATGGATAAACATGTATGGGTGATGAGAAGACAGTGTATGTTTCTCCCAAATAAAGACAAGATTAAATGAAAGAGCATTCAGTTTTGTTTTCACAAAATAAAACCACAAAGGCCAGTAAGAGCAATTTCATGCTTCTCTTCTGAATAACCTTCCTAACAGCCATTTTTAGACACCTCCTCCTGGCTTGCTGGCCAGGCTCCTTTCATGAGCTGCTACAACTACCCAGCACACAGCACAACAGCAACTGCACACAGATACAGGTATTAAATGCCCTGGGGGGAAGGAAGCAGAGAGACCAACCCCAGGTCATTCATACTAAGGGAAGACAACCACTGCTTGCTCCCAGGAGAGCAGAGGAAGACCTGCAGGTTCCAATCTCTCCTTTTCTCCTATGATGCAGCTGGTGCTGATGCAGGAGCTCCTACAGTATCCACACCCCTCTTGAGGCAGAAAAGACTTCACCTCTCGGCCCATTAGCAACCAGTCCTACTTCAGCCCAGACAAAGCTGGGATTTAAAAGTTTATTTTGGATATTCAAGATTCTTTTACTCTCTAAGTAAGAAGCTCTTCCTCCCCTGGTCCTCTGAGAGCAGCCTGCCTGGGTACCTCTCCTAGAAGAAGGCAGCTCCTTTCCTCTCTTGTGAGCTGGCAAATTATATCTTTAGGTTTTTGCATGGAGAATTTCAGAGAACATTGTTTGCATTTGCATTCAGAATTCTTAGTGTTTTAATTATTCATTGCTATCAAAATGCTTTGGTAGCATCCTGGTCTGCATGCTAGCTGTAGTCCTCTCTGCTTCTTATTCATTGCTAACTGTTCCTCAAGGGTTCTCTTCAGGCTCACAATTGTTTCCAGCTTTTAGCAGCAGTCTGAATGCCTGCTGAAGCTTGCCAAGCCAGCAGCGTGCCACCTGGCAGCGAAATCAACATCTGCTTTTTGCCTCCCTCTCTCAAAATGGAGGGTACCTGCTGGAACAGATCAGCTTGCTCTGCTGTTTAACTTGGCTCAGTTCTGCTCAGCAGAACCACCAGCAGTTCAGGTTAGATTAAAACTCTACCTTTTATATTTAATATATATGCAGCCAGGAAAAAATATTGCTGAAAAGTGGTTACTAATGAGAAGAGAAAACACATTTTTTAAATCCCAGTGCTCTAGCACCTCATAGTATTACATATAAACAAGAATCTACCAACAACTATGTTGAGAAGATGCATAGAAACGATCAGACTTTTCAAACAAAATTTTGGTATCAATGTGTAATGTGACAGAGGATTCTGGAGTATTTTTTCATTTCCTTTTTTTGCAGACGTGGAAGCACTGCCCTACCTACCAGTGCTAGTGCATGCTGCTATAAAAAGGCTTCTTGCTCTGCCAGGATTCTTACTCTTAAATTGCTCATCTTTCCTGTTTCAGTTGCTTGATTATAGGTAAGAGTAGTTGTGTTGATCAAAAGCTTTCTGGGTAGAATCACCCGTTCTTCCTATCATTTGAAGTGATACGCATGATGCTCTCTAGTCAAGGTATTTCTAAATTTTAAGTACACTGCCTTGAAGCATGAACAGAGACTGGGATGATGCAAAAGATATTATTCATCTTTCTCCAAATTGGTTTCAATTATTTTAATAGTTTCTACACAAACACAAAAAAGCTTTTTGGACCCACTACGGATGTCTTTTAATAGAGGCGATGGAGCCACTCTTCACAGACATGCACGACAAAAGGACTAGAGGCAACAGTCGCAAGTTACAACAAGGAATAATCCAATCGTAAAAAAAATGCTTTAACATATTCAATAAGCACTATCAAGTACTGGAACTGAGCCCAAGAATCTGGGGGTTCTCCATTCTTGGACATCTTTGTAAGTCGACTGAAGCAAGGGCATCCTGAGCCAACCCCATGCTTGGAGCAGGGCTCCGGACTGGAGACTTCCAGAGGCGCCTCCAGCTCTGCTCTCTTGCCACTCAGCACCTATTTCAGGATACCCTGTACTGCATCACTGGAGGAAAGTCCAGCAAAGCTGTGAGAACAGAGAGCTTAAAATATGACTTACTTCATTGCAGTTGACATTAAAAAGATGCTGGGATTGTGCTAAGAGTTACGTTGGATGACAATATGAATTCTTCAGTTGCAAGACTCAGCATTTAACACCACAAAGTATGCGGTAACATCAAATGTACAGGTCCAGCCGAGCTAAAAGTGCATCCTACTATTGAATCCAGTAAGAGTAAGTTATGAGAATCCTACTGAACACATCCAGATTTGCTGTGGCAATAAGGTTTCCCACAAATGCTGTTATGTTGCGGGACACTTGCATAAAACACATTGAAAACAGAAGGCCAGTTATATTAACAAGCATTTTTTCAATTAGTGCAAAAGAACTGGGTAATACTCTAATGCTGCCTGATTTTGCCCAGGGAGCATAAATGCAGCAGTTGGAGTTATCTTTATTTTTTTTTTCAGTAATACAGTAGTATTGGAAGCAGTAATTTCCACTTGCAGTATTAGAGCATGATGTGATGTGCTTTATAAGAGGTGGCTAAGGGCCTTCAAGACATGCAGAGGCAAGTTCATTTTTACAAGATAAAACAATACAGCACTCACAGAACTACGTGGCTTAAAGAAAAAAAAAAAAAAAAAAAGGCATCAAGTCCATGCTTCCCAACGTTTCTGTGTAGTAAGCAAAAACTGGCTTGCCTCTTTATGTCAAGCTCCACCCCTACACCTCCAAAAAAAAAGCTTCATTTTATCTCTAAGATAAACTTTATCTTTAACGTCCAGCAGTACAAAGAGGCATGCCTATTTGAATTTCTTCTACTGTTTAGTACAGCAAGCAAGAAAAAAGGAAAGCCCTGCCTTGGCCAGCTCAGCAGAAGGTTAATCACTACTTTCCAGTTCAGATGTGATCTCCACAGGCTATGCTTTCATTTCATCCCATGTGGTTCCATTTTGCTACCAGGCTATTTCTCATGTTTGTGCATCCTTAGTTTTTGCAACCAGAGAAGCATGTACATCATATGGTCTGTTTATCCCATGCTCATCTGCATTGAGAAGACCAGAGCTTCTCCCACCACACCGCCTCCTTCGCTCACTTCCTAAGATGACTTCTTTTTCTAATCTTCACCTGAGCTCCCACACAGAGAAAATCTGGAAGCAGCACATAGCAGGGCGAGCACCCACAGCACAGCCCCTGCTCGGTGCAGATGGCAGCTGGGCACGCAGACTGCTGGTTGCCCACGGTGGGCGTGCTGAACAGACACACCCCAGCGAAGGGGCTGGGGATCCTGCTGAACAGGTCAGCGTACTGCAGCCTTCTGAGCCGAGATTACTCCTCGTAGCCAGCCCAGCAGGTCTTTGGGCTGTCAGTAAGGATTCAATTCGGCTGAACTTTCTCGAGGTCACCACTGTAAAACCGAATCAAAGTGAGCCTCCTTAATTAGCAATTCTTCTGCCCCTCAGTGCTATAATTAAGACTGTATTTGTGAAGCTAGAAGAAAAAGGTTGTATTCTGGTCTCATGAGAAGCCTGTCATCTTGTGATGCATCATAAGACGTTTGGATTTACATGATAAGCATTTCATTCTGCTCTGAGTTCTTGCCACATCCCAAGGCGTCTCATGACACAGACAACTCAGGAGTCAGTGAATGTTGTACCTGTACCATTGTCTCTAAAGGTCCATAATATTCCCTGGTTTACAAGGAATGGATTGACACAGTAAACATTTTCACTTTTTTTTTTTTCTTTTACCAAATACAAAGGGTTCTGTTTTTCTTGTGTGGTTCCCCAATCTGGAACCAAAAGTGGAGTAACTTCAGAGAGCAAGCCTATCAAAAGTTTTGAGGGTTTCAACAGTTCTCTAATGCCTAAATATCAAACAACATAAAAGACAAGAAATTCAGGAAATTTAACATCAAGAGGACAATTATACCAGTTGAAACAACTCACTCCAATTTCCTTACTTCTGCCCAAGTTAATTTAACAAATGAAAACACCAACATTACAAGCTACAATTTACTGAGTGACATTCCCTAAAACAAGGCAAATAATCCTCAAACTCATACTTCCTTTCTACACTTTGTCCTTTCGATATTCTCCAAGCCAACCAGCACATAAGACTGTGTACCACATTATGGTTTTAATGCTCGATTCTCTGCTAACGAGCTTTTTTTCCAGTTAATTTCTTCGTTATGCAGGAGGTGCCACCAGCCTCCTGCACCTACCTTTCCTCGCCACCACTATGCAGTTACCTCCTGGTAAACCACTTACATAAACTCCAGTCACACTTACTGCTTGCTCTTGCCAGCTGCTTTTTCATTCAAGTGATACTGGATTAAAACCTCTTAGAGATGCTGAGAATATCACTTCCTTAATTCTTCTCATACCAGTTACACTTCTATTTTCAACCTCTAGTGGTGTATGAAATACTGGTGGCCCATGACTGTATCACTCTGGCCCTATTCACAGTCTGTGGTAGTATCCATACATTAATTCATCATTTGATTAATTCTCATTGGATCATTTGTCTAACACAAAACTAACACTGCATGTAGATTTACTGCATGTAAAGACTCTGCTGCTGGTATTCCCTGAAAAACACATTGATAGCTCTCTGGTGCATGAAGTGAGCTGCTACTGTTAGAGCGCACAGATGTACAATCTGCAAAGAAAAATTTGTTTTCACATTTGTTGAAGTCTTATTTGTAAGTGTAATTCAGCAGCTAAAAATTCAGGTTTACCAGCAAATGTGGCAGTCTCTCCATTTGTGCTCGTATTCTGTT